AAACCCTAAACCCCCCCCCCCCAAAGATCACTCTGAGGGCCTCAAGCGATGTCGTCACCGGCCCGTGGGTGTCAGCTTCTGAATCCTCGGAGTCGACTCCTTGGGCGCCCTTCCCAGGGAAGTTCACGAGACCTGGAGGCTGGTAGGCTTCCTTCCACTCGTCGGTGTTATGGTGGTTGTCTGTTACGGTATAACTAACATGATGACTCATCATATGTTTGTTGCACTTCTTGGCATTTTTGTTTTTTTTAATGGTTTCGCTTGCATTTACGATGCTTTTTGTCGAGGGCTCAGCGTGGCAGAGCTTTCCTTTCTTCGGATTAGATACTTGCTTAGGGTTTAGATACGATTCAGGGGTCAGGGCTTAGGGTTTAGAATTTAGGGTTCAGATCAGGATTTCGTGTTTAAGGATACTTGCAGTTCTGAACTTATCAATTTTAATGTCTCGGACATGGTCCAGCAGGTTGGTGATGTAAGTTTCGGGGTCGTTGGGCGGCGTGACTCCGTTGTTTCCTGGCAATTTTTGAGCGGCCCTGAGGCTACCACGGCTGAGGTTTTGTATTTGGCACTTTAGCTTATGCAAGGGCTTCGATCCTGTACACCTGCACCTTTATAGAATTCACAAGAACCCAGACCCTAAACCCTAAACCCTAAAAACTAAACCTTAAACCCTAAACCTAAAACCCTAAGCCCTAAACCTAAAACCCAAAATCCGAAACCCAAAGCCCTAAACTCACGGGGCGCCTTTGCCCTTGCCGTAGCCCTTGCCCTTGCGTGGAGGGGCCGAAGTGGAGCTCGCCTCGTTCATTTCCTATAGGTTTAGGGTTTAGGGTGTTTGGGGTCGAGAGGTTTAGGGTTTAGGGTGTTTGGGGTTGAAGGTGTAGGAGTTTTGAGGCTTCGGGTTTAGGGGTTTAGGGCTTCAGTGGTTGAGGGTGTAGGTGTTTAGGCGTTTAGGGCTTAGGGCTGAAGGGTTTAGGTTTTAGTGTTCAGGGTTTGGTGGCTTCGGGGTACGTGTTTCAGTCAAGAGGATATCTTTCTTTTGTTTTGTTTGACCTGGGGATACGGGTGTTGCAAGTTTCGACTGTGCTTGTCTTTTTGCCTGTCCGCTCGTGGCGAGTCAAAGCCCGTATTTGTAAGCCAAGGGTTTGTTACCACTCGCAACTTCGAGGTTTGCGGGCGAGAGAAGGTAGAAGCGAGAGAAACATCTCCTGCGCAATCGCCTGATAACCCTCCCTAAGCCCTAAACCCTAAACCCCGAAACCCTAAACCCCAAACAACCCTAAACTCTGACTCTCAACCCTACAGCGCTTAGAGCCCTAAGCCGCCTTGCCCACACCATCGTGACACAGAGGTCCGCGAAAGGCCGGCCCAGCGTCGGAAAAAGAACCCACGCCGACCAACAGAAGCCATGACGACTATAATGTAAGAGGCTTAAGGGGTTGGGTTTACGGTTTAGGGTTTAGGGGACTCTGAGATAATTCTGGTATACTTCATGAAAGAGTATAACAGGGACAAGCGGCGACTATAAGGCACCCCCGAAGGAACCCTAGTAGAACCTGTTATGCCCCCCTTTTGCAACTGGCTTGCAACGTCATGCTAGGACAGCTGCCGCTGTAACAGGTCCTAGATCCGAGAGGACAAACCCTAATCCCGACCTTACCCCCCAAAACCCCACTTCCTAAACCTTAAACCCTAAACCTTAACCCCCAAGCCCCCAAAACCCCAAACTCTAAACCTTTCCCCAAAAACCTCAATCCCTAAACTTTGGACCCTAAACCTTACCGCCCAAAACCCCAAGCCCTTAACCTCAAACCCAATCCCTCTACCTTAAACCTAAACCTCAAGCATCCTGAAACCCTAAACCCCTAAACCCTAAACCCCTCTAATCCCTCTAAAGAAGAGACTCACCGCCTCCGAGGCGATCGACCGGAGACCTCCGGCCCAACCCGAGCTGGAGCTTCGCTCGGAGGAGCTCCTGCGCTGTTTGGTATTGTGTAGACAAGGGTATTTAAATAATGGTTTAGGGTTTATAGGGTTT